CGAAGCAGGGGCGTCAGATCGAATCGGAACGTGCGTGCGCCGGCACGTCCGACGTGCCGACGCCCTCCGATCCGACGCACACCACCCGCTGGACACCTAAAATCCGGACACGCTAGACCAGGACATCCTAAATCCCTCGAGTCGATTCTTTTCAGACGGCGGCACGAGAGAAAAACTGCACTGCAACACTTCGGGAATAGACCCGGACACAGGCCCTCAAAGCAGGCAAAACACACCCTAGACCCGGACAAAGACCCGAATCCTGCACAGCAGCAACAAAAACCTGCACTGGACGACCAAATCTGACTTTGCAGGAAAGGGTGTCGCTTCCCCGACTTGCCAATGTCTTGGTTAGTCTGTGTCCTGGTCTACGGGGGCCTGGCGTCGTCGGACTCGCATCGAGCCGGCTGCGCCAGGATGCACAACGCCGCGCGGGCACCGGGCCGCGCTGGTCGTCGGAACACAGGAATCGAGTCGGATGTCGAACCGGCCACAGCCGATATCGAACCAGATCGTTCGGATCGACACGGGCCCTGGATGGAAGGGGGGCGGATGCTCGCAACGCAGGGAGTGAAGAGAGAGGGTGTGTCCTGGTTGGAGGCGGACGGGGGGTCTGAACTGGGCGGGATCTCAGAAAGCTGGTCTGGAGGGGGGACGGGGATGAAGTCAAATCCGGTCAACATCGATCCCGGGACCCATCGCGGGGTCCATCCAGTGCAGGCTTTCATCCTGGATCCGTTTTCTACGGTCCTGGGGCCCGAAAGCGGCCCCCGGAGGGAAAGCACTGTAATTAGCTTGACGAAGGACCCAACCATTTGCAGTTGCGAATACCGAATTGTGGGTACTGGCTTCGGTGAAGCTCCCTATGGGGCCACGAAGCGCTGCCCTGGGTGGCGTTGACGCATGCGGCCTGTGCCACTGGAGACTTCGGTGGAGCTCCCCATGGGGCCACGAAGCGCTGTCCTGGGTGGCTTTGACGCATGCGGCCAATGCCACTGGAGCCTTCGGTGGAGCTCCCTGTGGGGCCACGAAGCGCTGTCCTGGGTGACCCTGCCACTGGCGCCCTCGGTGGAGCTTCCCACGGGGCCACGAAACGCCCTCGTGAGGGGTGAGCCGAGATGGCCCGAGGCCGCCATGCGTACCCTGCAACTGGCGCCTTCGGTGGAGCTTCCTCCCTAAACCCTAAGTCTCTAATCCTATAACTATTAAACCCTAATTGACCATCCGTATCTTGTACCCAGCCCCCGTTTGCGACCCGGTTATGTAAACCGGCTCCATCTACTGTAAAAAAAATGTTCTGCGCATGCGCTCTCCTGTATTTTAAACTACAAAGTGCCGCAGTTCCTGCGCATGCGCGTAGAATCTCATGTATTTTACCGTACAAAGTGCCTCGTCCCCGTGGCGACCCCGCTCCATCTACTGCAAAAAATAACATTTCCTGAGCATGCGTGCAGAATCTCGTGTATTTTAAAATACAAAGTGCGACCCCGTTATGTTCACCGGTTCCATGTACTGCACAAAATAGCATTTGCTGAGCATGCGTGCTGAATCTTCTTTCTTTTACATTACACAGTGCCCAGGCCCCGTTGCAACCCGATCCATCTATTCCACAACGTCGCATTTGCTGCGCATCCGTGCAGAATCTCTCCAGCCCGACCCGACTCTTCCCGCCCGTTGGAGCACTCGCGTGCCATCTGGATCGCACATCACTCGCCGCCGTCGTCGTCGTCGTCATCGTTGTCGTCGACGTGGTTCTACCAAGGGGAGAGATAATCTTTATGGTGGGGTGGCTTGCGGGTGGGAGCGACGGCCACCGCAGGTGGGTTCGCGGTCACGGTGTGCTCGTGGCCACGCCTAGTAGACCCTAAACCCTAAACCCTAAATTTCAAACCCTATAATTATTAAACCCAGACTACTACAAAACCGCTCGTTATGCAAACCGGTTCCATCTATTGCAAAAAATAGCATCTGCTGCACATGCGTGCAGAAACTCTTGTACTTTACTATACAAAGTGCCCGGTCCCCGTTGCGACCCGGCTCCATCTACTGCAAAAATAGCATTTCCTGAGCATGCGTGCAGCATCTCGTGTATTTTACCATACAAAATGCCCGGTCCCCGTTGCGACCCCGTTATGTAAACCGGCTCCATCTACTGCAAAAAATAACACTTGCTGCGCACGCGTGCAGAATCTCTAGTATTTTACAATACAAAGTGCCCGGCCCCTGTTGCGAGCCGATCCATCTATAAAAAATAGAATTTGCTGCGCATGCGTGCAGAATCTCTTTCGCCCGACCCGACCCGTCCCGTCCGTTTTGCCTGCCCGACCCGTCCCGTCCGTTAGGGTACTCGCGTGCCAACGCCCGACCCGATCCGACGCGCTCGTTAGGTTCCGTCTGCCCGACCCGTTTCGCTTGTATGGGGCACACGGGTGTTCAAGTTTAACAGTTCTCTCGGGTGTGTCTCGATTGTCTGTCTGTCTACCTCCCCACTCATCTCCGCCTCATCGTTTGTCATTATATGTTCTTCTTGTCAATGCTGTTCTGTGCACATGTTCCGGCAGAGGGAGCGGTCAAACCTATGATGTTCGTTCAGCCATTTTTGGTTCAGCAGGAGCTATCGCGTGCTCATAACCGATCCTCGTCCTTCCAATTCTATTGGAAGACAGCGGATGGCCGGCTACCACACGATCGCGCTGTTCTTGCCGCGGCCCACGGCCTCGCTAGCCTATTGTTACTCTCTCCTGACGAGGGTCGCCGATCGGCACGAGCCTATCGAAGTGCCTACAGAGGCCTGGCATGGGTGGGGTACTATTATGTACGTGAGTATCCACCACCATGATGTCATGGACGTTTACCAGTGCTATGGGACGCCGCACGATTTCTTGACGAGCTATTCTGGCGCTCGTGCATACCATCATCTTGGGTACATGTCTATCTACTCAAATGCTGCATCTGCACTATGCGGTATTCCGGTCTGGGCAGTATGTTGAGGTGCTCGCGTACAGCGAAGACATTCACCGTGATCGGGTATCCGATCTATACGTGCGTGTCCCCGCGATCTCCCCGGACACCTATGCCATCATCCCGTCCGACTGCGGCATCGAGGGCGTGTGGTTGAACGAGCTCCGGTTTGTTCACCCTAGGGTTGTCTCATGCTGTTGACGAAAAGTGGGCTCTCCTATGTGCGCGTCGTCTTCTACTGTTACTTGCCCTATGCCTATCCCGCCACTGTGCTATAGCATGGCGTAGCACAGCATGGGTCCCCAAAAAGTGGGGACCCCTATGTGCGCGTTGTCTTTTACTGTTACTTGCCCTAGGCGTATCCCGCCACTGTGCTGTAGCATAGCATAGCTCAGCATGGGTCCCCAAAAAGTGGGGAGTCCTATGTGTTGTCTTTTATTGTATTTGTCCTAGGCCTATCCCGCCACTGTGCTATAGCATGTCGTAGCACAGCATGGGTCCCCAAAAAGTGGGGACCCCTTTGTGCGCGTTGTCTGGTACTGTTACTTGCCCCAGGCCTACACCGCCACTGTGCTGTGGCATGGCATAGCATAGCATGGGTCTTCAAAAAGTTGGGACCTCTATGCGCGCGTCGTCTCTCGCTGTTACTTGCCCTAGGCCTATTCCGGCACTGTGCTATAGCATGGCATAGCAAAGCATGTGTCCCCCAAAAGTGGGGAGCCCTATGTGCGCGTCGTCTCTTCACTGTTACTTGCCCTAGGCCTATCCCGCCACTGTGATACAGCATGGCATAGCACAGCATGGGTCCCCCAAAAGAGGTACTCGCCGATGCAGCCTTTTCGGATCGAGAGCTCGGGTGTCCCAGGTGGGCAGAGATTCTCGTTCTATAGAGCGTTCCGAGGATCGTTCTCACTGACTGCGAATGTCCCAGCCCGCGAATCCCATGCCGCGCTGGGTTCCCATGGCGAACGTTGACTCGTCCGCTATGCTCATCGCGTTCATCACCTGGTACCGGCGGCAGAGCCCCCCGGGTCGCATATTCTATGCCATGGGCATGCACCTGATCATGACGCAGGTCTGGCATGGAGCCATTGGCTCGGTCACCGACTCCGAATGGGTTGAGGATCACTATGTTCCTCTTCAGCGCGTGCTTTGTGATGGTATACTTTGCAGGCGTTGCCGATCTCATGGGGGCAATTCTATTTTCCCAAATGGTTACATCTTTCGCTGGTTCAGCCCTCTGTGGGAGTCGCTGTACATGAGCCTCAGGAACCCACTCCTGAACTCGTGGGTTCCAGCGGATGGGTTTCTGTACGATGATCCTGCCGCGGGCGCCGACTATCGTGGCGGCGTTGCGCGGGACCAGAATGGGCATTGCCTGGTTCCGCGTAACAGGTGGGCCCACACCGCCGCTATCATGGGCATCGAGCCACCTGATGGATTGGACTATGCTCTGGACCTTACGTTGGACATTGCATTGGACCATGCCTTGAATCACGCCACGAACTACGCGTTGGAAGTAGCCGTGGATCCTCTCTTTGAAAAGGCGGACACTGGCGACCCGCAGGCCTGATCCGTCCAGCGGATGAGCAGTCAGGGCTGTTTCAATGATTCCACTTGGTCTCTTTTTCCTGCCACGCAGTTCCGCTTGCGTGTGTCGCAGAGAAGGTGCTGCTTCTATGCCTCGCCTTCGTGTTCGTGTTTGTACTTTCACGAGTCATGTTACGTGTTAGGGTATTGCAGGACAGGTCTATCCCTAGCAAGCGGGGCCTGACTATCCCTGATCGTAAGTGCCAGGGTCGCGATCTGCGCATGCTGGGACCTTCTCTGTGCGAGTATGTATTCGCGTGGCCTGGGAACTATGGAAACACAAAAAAGGGCCCCAGACTCTGTACTGAAGCGTGTCTTAACCATCCAGTTTGTTCTGAGTGTCCCGACTGAACTTGCCACGCTGTGCCTATCCAGTCGCACTGTTCGTTATGCATTGGGTTGTATTTCGGGGTTTCTTCTACGACTGGATTCGGGCTACCAACCAGGGA